TTAAACCCTGTATTGAAAGAAAATAAAAATAAAATTAAAAAAAAATTTTTTCCTCGTATCTCCACCTTACAGAGGCATTTGCCGGATGAGGTTTGAGTACTCTAATGAACCTAAGAGCTATGCCGGCAGTAACGTATAATACGCCGATATTCATATATATAGACTATTTTTATATTTAAAATAATCTTAAGTATGATTTTAGATCGCATCTTGAGATTCCGATCAGTTAGTAAAATAGTTGTATTTTCCAACTTACTTAAGACGATCTTAAATATAAGAATGAATTATGAATTCTGGCTTTAGATAAGGTTACCTATGCCGGACAAGTCGAAGGGAAAGAGTCAGACTAAGAAAGATATCAAAATTATATATATATGTTATTTTTAATTATATTAATATTTTTGAATAAAATAAAAGAAAAAGAGACAGTAATTGAGAAAATAGAAAAAAGACAACTACAGTGATTTGAATATCTCAAATCCTTTCTCCTCCTCTTTCTCTCTTTCTCTCTCTTTGAGTGATTTGAATATCTATACTCAAGAGAACAAATGTTCATAGAAAATATTTCGATGGACTCCATAGGAAGGAATAAGCATGACAAATGATGATAATCCCTATGATTTTAACACCAAGGAATATACAATAAACCATAATAATCCAAGAACTCGAAGAAGAAAATAATAGATAATAGAAATAGATAATAGAAATGCATAATGATTGGAAATGATTAGAAATTAAAAGACAGTATGAATACAACCTATTTATTAATAGTAATAAATTATTTTTATTTATTACTATTAATTATTTTTATTTATTACTATAACCTATTTATTAATAGTAATAAATTATTTTTATTTATTACTATTAATTATTTTTATTTATTACTATAAATTATTTTTATTTATTACTATTAACTATTTATTAATAGTAATAAATTAATAGTAATAAATTATTTTGTAATTATATTAAATTTTATAATTTAGTACATTGTATTATATAAAATATTAAGTATAAAAATATTATGCTGGTAAGAAAATTATAAAAGTATACAAATAATGTTGACTACATTAGAATGGAACATATGAATTCTTTATATATGAATTCTTTATATTTTATATAAAGGAAGAGATATTTAAAATATTTTGCAACTATATTTTTCGAATCTTAATTATAAAAACTTTAGAACAATCAGTGATTAATTTGACAAATTCTATACATGTATTAATAATTAAATAAGTAATAAATAAATAAGTAAATAATTAATAATATAATAACTTTTTTAAATAATTAAAAAAGTGATTAATAAATATCAAAGATCAGTTTATTGCTAATTAAGATTTATAGAAATAACGGTTAAAAATGTTTTTATTCCACAGCAGGCATTTCGTGTTTTGTAAATAAAAATATATAAACATGGCAATGAATATAGAAAAATATTTATTTCATCTTTGAACATTACATTAGAAGATTACAGTATCTTTCACGATTGCATAATTTATTTACTATCAATTTATATACATGAGTATCTTGTTATACTCTGGTGTTACCGACATTTCGTGCACATAGCACGGAACGAAACCAGAAATTGTGCACATGATACCCTCTGAGAACATTCATGGACATTGGCTTTGTAGTTCATGTCCACGTTTTCAATGTCCATAGAGGGAGTATCACTTTCAAGAATCACTTAAAAGCAGGCCATGACATCTCTTTGTCTTCTCTCTGTTTCCATTGATGCAAAGGTGAAGATAAGTTTTTTAATTTTTTAAATTGAAGTATATATGTATTTCGAAAATTATCGGTAAGAATTATTATTATTAGATTTACTTCGATTGCAACTTCAACAAATTTATTCCCATTGTCGGATATACTTGAATACAAAAGCGTAAACGATAGCATAAAATAATTCATTAAAACTAAAGGATATTAAGATGATAGACACATCTTAATATATAAAGATAATTATTAAACACGATTTAATAAAATTATACTTTATTTAATTTTTCTAATCATTTCATCATAGTGCATGAAAAAAGCGCAAAATAGTATATGCAATATTTTTAATACAATCGGTTTTCTTTATTCTGAAATAATTATCTCTGTATAAACTAGATTCTTTTCTTCTTTCTCTTCTGTGTTTATATATATTCATTTCCTGTGAATTTACGAAGAATAGAAATTGAAGATCCAGAATAGATGAGAATAATTGATCTCGTTTTTAGACAAATAGATTTAATCGTTCTATAAGAATTGCGACTGTTCATTAATAAATTCAATTACGCAAAAAGCTTCTTTTGGAATATTACATATCGAGGCTTTCATAACAAAGGAGCGCATCTCCAGATTCAATATCCCAAATTATATCAAAATCAGAAATTAATATTTTGCAAATCTAAATATGTATCTATGTTCCTAATGCATTCTTCTTCAAAATATATGAAAATTGCATTTTCTTATGTATAAAATTTAAATTTAAATTTACGTTCTTCTGTGAATGAAATCCTCAATATTGTTTTGTAATATTAAGTAAAATCACAAAAAAATAACTTTTACAGTAATATTAAATTTATATTAACTTTTTCACAGTATTAAATAAATCAAAAAGCGGTTCTGCATGCATTTTTTTTAAATCAATGAGAGTAATAACTAGATTTTATTTTGCCAAGCATACAATAATAAAAATTAATTTGATTATATTCCAAACTTGTACATTCTTTTTTTGCATAATTACGTATCTATTCCTTACTTAGAAAGATTTAGTTAATCTAATTTTTGATAACAATCACGATTCCACACAAAGAATGGATCGTTACTGCAATTTATATTCCTAAACATTTGCATTCTAACGATTACATTATTACGACACACGTGTTGATATTGCAATCACATTAGTAACCATAATTTACACAAGTTCAAGGATTCTCAAGTATTAATATTTTACACAATTTAATATATTCAATGAACGAATATTATTCTTTTGCTATTATAAGTGCAAAGATAGATTCTTAATAGAATCATTTTTTTAATATTCTTTAATTTCTTTAATAAGAGTCAGTAGATATATATCATTAAATAGTAACAAACATATAATGATGATATAATTGCTTGAGAATCCTTGATCTAGGATCTAGGTGCTGTATCGTAGAATAATCATAAAAATATATACAACTTGCAATACATGGAATGAATATAAAATCATAGTAAATAAATCGCTTACGCGCAGTGTATTAATAGCATAATTATGAAAAATTTCAGTTTTAAAAACTTGTGTCTTGAAAAGATATTTCTTTATTTAATTAAGGAATTGGTTGGCTAAGAAAAATTTTAAATCATACATGGCGCAATATACATTGGCTCAAATTGATTACTTAGCAAATATTACTTCTATTGGATATTTAAGATTTTCATAATGTTGCAAGGATCACATGAATGCAACAAAATGTAAATTTTAGATATGGCACTGTGCATTTAATATGACTATAATTTATATCTTTCTCTAAGCATTTTTATTATGTGTATATATATATATATATATATATATATATATATATATGTACATACATAATAAAATAATATGTACAAAAAGAACAAACAAAATGAAAATGATACTTTGCGCCATTTTTGTTTCAAGTATAAAGATTTTCAATACAAATTATGAATGTGAACCAAAATGTAATATTCAATATATCAAAATATAGAAAAATGTACTCTCTTAAGAATTATATATTGTGTACGTTACATTGTAGTAATTCGATAAATAATTTTTCTTTTGTAGAAAAAACAAATATTATATTTTTTGTTATATTTTTTTCTTTTCTTTTGCTATAATATTCATTTAAGAAACCCTTAACTATAGATATTATGTATATAAATCCGATACACACAAAATTTATAATTATATAGAAAATTACAATATTATATTGACACATCAGGAAAGCATCTATACTGGCTCTATTCATATTTTAAACAAAAATTGAATTCCCAAGACTCCAAATTTAGAAATATGTTTGATCAGTGTTTTCCTTACAATTCTTATCAGATACTTAATTATTTTGTCATATTATTATATTCACAACTCGCAAAACTTAAGTTAAACAATCTTTTATTAACTTTACAATCGTAGAAATAAATAATCATATCACTACGTATACAATATTTACAAGTTAATGTCGATCATCGCAATAGCAGATACAATTCGATAATATCGAAAATTTACTCGCAAAAGAAAAAGAAAGCAAATCCAAATAAAGAAGAAAAGATATCTGATGAATTTGATACAACTTTTAATTACACGCAAATTATAAGATTCATTATTTGTACAATTACTTAGCTGCAACCTCCAAAATGCATTCGTTTTCTTTCGAAGTAGTATATATATAATAATTGAGAGGTAATTCGGTAATTCGACTATAGACCATTGGTCATATATGATTTATATTACAATTTTATTTTTTTATCTTTTCATAAAATAACACATAATAATGATATATATTATTTCTCGATGTGTTTTAACGTTTCTTTTTCAGTGTAATTTACAAATAACTCTTAAAAGTGTTCAAATTTATAACGATACTTTTATATTTTATATCCTCGATCACGTCGAGATATTCTTAAAGCTTATTTAATGCAAGTCTGTATGCAATAATTTTCAAATCAATAAAAAATTATAATAAATATAGACGCTATTAAATTAATTTTAACTATTAAACCAATAAATTATCAAACGCGTCAAATTTTAGAGATTATATCTCCTAAATATATTCATAATGTAGAATCTGCTATTAATTAATACATGTTTTAGCTATTTTTATGATAATGTTTTCATATCGATAGAAAATTATATTTTTAAATTAATTTTTGTATTTTACAAATACGTCAATTGAGTTAACATTATTTTTTTAACAAAAAGAAAAGAGCATAAAATACAATAAAATACAAATTATTCTCAACATCTTTATTTTATTGAAAGAAAATTCTAGGAAAAAATGCAATTTAGAATGTAATGCAGAATAGTAATTTAATGTAATGCAAAAAAATAATTTAAACTAAATAACTGCGTGTCTTTTTTAAGTGTTTTACGTAATATTTTTGTTCTATATTCACCTTTATATCTTCTAACATACATCTTCTAATAGACCTAACCCTGTGTTCAAAATCGCGGTATGCTTCATGTGTGGCAGAATAAAGAAAGAATTGTTTACATCGCTATATATGATCATATCGTCTGAAATCTTTGTTATTCTATTTTTATTCAAATAGCTTCTCTGTCGCGTGAAAACTGTTATTAAAAGTAGAACAGAACTAAATTAAACATTGTCTTTTTACAATATCATAAGAATGATAGACATCTTATCTCATGATATCAAGTTTATTTGAAAACTGATAACTTATTTGCACTCAAGAACCAGCGAAGATTTATTGTCTTAATTTACATTATTGAAGAATGTAACTTATTTTCATTTCAGCACATGAACAGCATACTTATTAAACCGCGACGAGTTACATAAATAAAATAACGAATAATTAAAATATTTCCAAATTTTGCTGGCGAAAAAATCCAAGGAAATTTTGCAACCCGCGTAATTGGCTTCTTAAGAATTCGCTGGTTTCTATAAAATTAAGCAAAGTGATGGAAGTTTCCACGAAGTTGACGACGACGAGGCGAGGACGAGACGGTATCTGCTCTTAATGCCAATTGCCGCGATGACGATCAACGAACAGACAATGGCGAATCAGACTTGCCCGCCCACGTCTGCCTGATATCGCAGCGTGAGATATTCGGCCGCCTCTGTCATGCGGGCGAGACTGCGATGAAGGCCACGCAGATGACGTTTAAAGTCCTGGGCGGCGATGCTCGCCAAATCGGCACATTCCTCGCCCTCCAGTCCGCTATCGATCTCGATGCCTACCTCAGAGTCTGAGTCCGAGGTGGAAGTAATCGAGGATGCGCTCTGCACGCTCTGCATCGAAGTGGTACTGGGGCAACGCACGTGGCCTAATCTGGCGCCGGTTACAACCGGATAATGATGCATTTCGGATGGGCTACCGACTGGATGACTCTTGATCAGCTGATCGTCCGCCTCGGTGCCTCGCGTAGGCTCCTGCGACCACAGTAGTTCGATCTTCATCTGATTGATGATGTTGTAAAGGCGGTATAGATCAGTGTTGGCCAGAGTGTCCTGTACCGTGTAGCCTCGCTTGCCCTTCAATTTGCAAACCATATCGCCTGCGTCACCCACCGATAAATCCAGCAGACGACTAGGTATCAAGATAGTGTCCTCCATCTCGCTTACGGTACGCACGAATTTTTCCATGCTGTTCAAGATGCTGGCATTGCTGAATTCTGGTTCGTCATGCCGGGCGATCCTCCGCAGGCTTCTGTAATAAAAGTTATTCAGCATACTTTAATACGATGCATTTAGAATACATGATATCTTATCTAATCATGTGTGTGTAAAAAATTGCACTTTAATCTTCTGTATAGTAGATTAATTAATAAAAAGACGTATATTAATTGCGATTTATGTGAGAGAAAAAATTATTATCAAAACGCCATTTTAAAAATGTGTTTATCAGCAGTGATATTTTATTAAGATTTTCTAGTATTTAGAAATAGACGATATAAGAAATAAAAGTTTATTATTGAATTTTTAATTATTGAATTAATTTCATTAAGATGCAAATATATCTTAGAACAATAGACTCGATTCGAAACGAAAACGTTAATAAACGTAGTTAAACTATAATAATTTATTATTTTCACAAATCATGATTTATTTTAATCAGATGATGAGTTGTTTATAATCGAAAGGTCGACTTTGTGATGGAATTTCTCCACAAAGTTGTGAATAGTTTAATCGTGAACATTGAGCCTCATTGAGATTAATAATGTTTACATTCAAAAGTGATTAGATTGATCTTTGCTCGGTTATTCAATAGTCAAAAAATACATTACAAGAGATTACACGAATACATCTTGCTTCAGCGGAAAATCGAAGATTACTAAATGATTGATTTGTATGCACTTCACAATCGTGGCGTAATGAATGAATATGACGCAATATCATTAAAGCACGTAGTGTCACAGAAGCATATGATGATACTTTAAGAGAAACCCAATCTTCGTCGATTTGCAACTTCGTAGTAAGCTATCACCGGAAAATACTGATACTCCTTTATCAATAATTAATATCGATTTAATATTTATGGTATTCTAAATTAATTCATTCGATTACATTTTAGATTCACTATATAATTGATTAAATAGATACATATAGATGTGTGGCCCTTATCTCGAAATTAAATATTGATATTATATATGTTTCATTTCTTTAGATATAAATTATATAAATTAAAAATTTGACATTTTAAGAATATTACAAAGATAAATAAATAATTTATTTTTCAGTCGATTTTCAGTAATATCATATTTTCATCTTGTTTAAAATTGAAATTGATGTTTGAGAAATTGAGAAAATATTTCAGAATTTTTTCTTCAAGCTTTTTCTCGCAATAATGTAAACATATTCAAAAAAAAATCACATTCAAAGGGAACATATGATGTCAAATTGATGTTATTTTAACTATTGTATTCTTCTTAGAAAATGTTGCATATAATTACATTATTGATATATAATACAACATATTGATAAATTGAAGAAATTAAATGCAAATTTATTGCTATTTATCGATATTTTTAGTCATATATAATTATATTGATATTCGATTATTGTAATGAAAAAAATGTCATCTACATATCTGTTTTGAATTTTCATTCTGTCATGTAAATAAATGCATAAAATTAAATAATGTTTACATAATCATGTGTACAACGTAATTGTAAAGTTAATAATGAATAATAATTTTATATAAATGAGCAATTGTTGATTTATCCACACACGTGGCACACAGATTTTTAAATAAATTATAAAATCTCTTTCTAATTATGAAAATTATTTTACAAAGAAATCGTTACATGTTTAGCGAATTTATTGATATTATTATTAAACAGTGATATATTATCTGCGTTATCACTTTAATCTCATGATAAAAAAATTAAAGATCAACGAATGTTTCCGCTTCATTAGCCCACATTTCATGTATATGTGATTGATCAAATGGTTTTCTTAATTAAGAAAAACACGATTAAACTTATCTCACCAGCGATAAACGGCGGCTTTACATGGTAAATTGGCGACCACTAGAATTCGCAATAAAGTCCAAATCGACGCATGAATAATTCAAGTACGCATTTTCAGCCGAATTAATCAAATCACTTTGTTATATTAATCGCCGTATCTGCATATAATAAGTACATGCACGAAATAAAAATTTACTATAAATCCATCGAGGGCCGAAAAAACCTATGTAAAGATTTTAACGAGCGAAATATTGTAAACTGACGATCGGCACTTCTCACTTTCAGCAACAAACGACAAAATGCAAAATGTAATTTTATTACGTTAATCAATTTGCAAGTGCATTTTGTATTGTCGTCACTCATCCTCTTTCCGCTCGAATTGCAAATTATTTTTTTACACTGCGAGCGTGCATATATAAGGATAAATTATATAGTACATTATTTGAATATTCTTTGGTATTAAATAATGCAATATATCATTATGCATAATGTTTTATTTATAAACGTAACGCGGTGAGTTTTTTTATTCCCCTCCACGACACTCGGCCCGTATGTATGCGCCTTTTTAACAGTGAAGAAGAGCTTATCGGAGAAAATAACGGGCGTTCTATAGCGTTAAATCGATCCTCGACTGATTAAGGACGCGCGCCCAACGAAATTAAGCGAGGTGACGCGCTAAAAATAATCGCCGTAGTGTTCTACTTATGTAACTATAGGCTTATTCTGTCCCACTTGTGTATGCAAGACCCGGTCTAGCAATACCTTTATCCGAAATCGACAATCTTTCTCTCGTGTTCTTGTTAATGGAGAAATCAGAACACGCTGTTGTCTCTGACTCTCGAAACTCAGCTCGATAAATACTTTCAACGGATGCAATTCTTGATATTTCAGAAAAATTTATTTTACAATGCCGTATATTTATTTTACAATACCGTTATTTTGCAATACCATATATTGACAAAGAGTCGATGGTTCTCATCATTCACAAATAAACACAAGAATCATTTCGATCTATTATATCGAGAGCTCAACTAACCGAGATTATAATAATATTATAAATTAAATAATAAATAAATTATGTTAATATAATAAATAAATTATGTTAAATTAAATAAATTATATAATCTATTAAATAAATTAAATAAATTAAATAAATTATGAAAAGCTTTGAAATTGTTATTTGAAAAGTTTTTCTCGATATCCTAAATAAATTACTAAATATTAATGTCACTTATTAGTAATATAATTTAATTTAATATTATAATCTCGGTTGAGATCTCGGTACAATAAACGAGAATGATTTTTGTGTTTATTTGTGAAGAAGGAAAATTAATGACTATTTGTTAATATTGTAGTCATTGTCAGTATTGTTGACTCATTGTAAAGTAATGTAAAATAGATTTCTCTAATTACTTTCTTTTATCCTTTTCTAAAACAAAATATCTTATTTCTCTGTGTATTGACAATTAGGCGTGTAATGTATTTCTCAAGAAAAATTTGTCCTATATATGACAAAATCATAAGATAAGGCGTGCTTATTATTGTGAAATACATAATGTACTTGAATTTTAAAAGAAAGAATAAATTTTATCATTTAAAAATGCAACAATGCCAACACAAAATTGCCAACCAAAAATAAAGTTAATTTAATTTTTAATTTCAATCTCTTGTGAAGCAAAAGTTCAAATAGATCTTTTTTTCTCAGAAAGTTAATTCAGAAAGTGTATTATTTACTTTATTATAATTTGTGTAAGGATTTATTATTCTGACAAGAGGATAAATATTTCTAATCAATTATGATTTTATCAATTAAATTATTTAATTTTTCTCTTTTCAATTTAAGTCGTTTCTCAATTTGTGTGAAACAGAGATTACCTTTGAATATAGACGCCTTCTTTGAATATAGAGAAAGTATAAAATTCTCGCAAATGCGAATTATCAATAATAATTGCGTATAAACCAACTATACAGTTTAGTTTGATTTCAAAACATTGCGCGAAATGAAAGACTGTTTCAACGTAAGAACCATTTTACCTAAAGTCTCGATTACACATAGAGTCCGAGGAACACATGAAGAAGTCTGTGTGCCACTTTTCGACAGGATTCTACTCGAGATACCGTTTCGCGGTACTGTTCCTTTTTACGCGGCGTCTCTTCTTTAGGAAAACGAAAAAGGAACATGCTCGAAGTAAGCCATCGCCCAAGGCACCGAAGACGCTAAATTCCGCGACTGAAATCGTAAAAACTCTAACCGCAGCCTCGGGGGGTCTCGAGGTACGTTGTGCTTCTCGTCAATTTCCCCCCCAAGATCCTGGCACATGTTACAAGAGATCGAAGAAATTTCCATATTTCTAATCGCTCGTCTTAACTCTTTCACTCCTGATTTTGTATTTGTGGAAATTTATAATTCCATAGATTAGATATTGAGAGAAAAGATTTAACAAGTACAAGACGAACAAAATTTATTTAATTATATCACCGGGACATACACAGAAAAAAAATAAATGTTAAACCAAAACTTATATACTTAAATTAACGCGTTCATTGCTTCATATATACGCAACAATTTATAATTTTCTTAGAAGAATTTAATAATTTTAAATTTCAACAATATTATAGTCTCATTTTAATACTATAATTGTCATCTCAATAATATATAATTATTTAATTCTACTTTAAGAAAATATAATATATAATTATATAATTATTTAATTCTACTTTAAGAAAATTATAATCTTTGATTTAAAAATATTATTTGCTATCTAACATTGTTTCTTTTCAAGAAAATTAAATCTTAAATCGTAAGAATATATTTTTCTTAATTGAACTATATAAAATGGCTTCATTCAAGTAAGCAATTATTCAAGCAATTATATTTTTCTTTAATTAACGCAATATAATCTCATTTCAAGATTTCCATGTTGAAACTAAATATATTTTCGAAACAAGAATGTCCTTTTTTTTCTATGTATATATCCCTATGCAGGAGTGAAAGGATTAATCGAAATAATCGTCTTTACGAAACGCCTATCACAAGTGCAACGTATCTTGGCCCTATCCTCTCATCATGCGTATTCACGAGGAAATTACGGAACAAAGTCGCATGGTTTCGTAACGAGGATTGCATAACTAATAAACACGGGGTCGGAATGACGACGAAGCGGAAGAAACAACACGGGGAATGCTGAAGCAACGCCGTAAATAATCATTGCGCGATAATGAGCTATTCGATGGCTCT